GTACCTGTCACATGTGGGCCTCCCAGGGGCTCAGCAGGCAGAGCAGGGTGGGGTGTTAACCAAGCCCATCAACGCCTCACACCACAAGTCTGAGCTGCCAAGGTCTTACGGTTCTCTCTAAACCCATCTGCTCTTCTGTCCCAGAGCACATCAGAAAAATTTAGTTTTGGTAATTTTTAGTTTTAATGTAATTCAGACTTATGGAAAAGTTGCAAAAAAGGCATAAGGAACTCCTGTAGACCTTTTGTTCAGATTCACTACTTTTTTCTATTTGGGCCCATTTACTTTATCATTCTCTCTCTGTGTCTCTCTGTTTCTGTCTCTCTCTTTTTTGCTCTTCTATCCACCCATCTCCGTCTATCATATCATCCGTCTTCTAATCATCTATGTATGTTTTTTCCCACACTGTTGGAGACATCGTACCTCTTCACCCCTAACTACATCAGTATGAATTTCCTAAGAATGCAGACTTTCTCTTACATATTCGCAGTGCAGTCCCCTATTTTTACCAGTCTAGGATTATCATAGCACATCCTTTAACTGTTGGAGGAAAGAAGAAACAAATATTTATTTATAGGAGGCTGCTGGATGCCACATGTGGTGCCAAGGCACTTTACATACCTTGTGACATTTTTGTCTCCTAAACCGTCCTGTGGAATCAATTTTTATTTTCCCCGTTTTATAGACAAGCAAACTCAGGCTTGGAGAAATTCACTAACTTGCCCACTGTTAGTCTCTGGGGAGCAGAGACAAATCCAGGTGCGTCTGACGCTGACACTGCCGGGGCCCTGGCGCCTGGAGATTATAAGGCACACACTTGATGTGGGTCTGTCCTCAGAGAGGCAGTAGGCCCCCGTGTCTTTAGTTCATCTCACTACATCATCTCAGCTCTTCCAGGCACTGTGGACGCAGAGTCCATTCAGGGAGCTGCAGAGCTCGTCACAACGTGCTCACTGCTTAGAGCTTATCTTCAGCCCTGTAAAGATGAGACCACCACCAACACAGACAGGCATGTCTGAAAGATGAACACGCCTGTGACCGTGTGCACGCTGAGGTAGCTGATCACAGAGAGAGGGAGACAAATACAGTCACTGCGACGGGGAGTGGGAAAGACGGGTTTCCTGTTTATGCCAAACGCAGTTGGGCAAAGTTATCATTATCCTGGAACTTAGGGTTTAGCTTGGCAAGGTTTCTGGGGGAGTGAGGAGTGGAATTTTAGAGCTTAGAGCCACATATGCATGGATATTTCACATCCAGAAAGGACTGTAGATGCATAGTCTACCCTCCTCATTCCAGACACGGGGAAACTAAGGGCCAGAAAGGAAAACTAGTCTGTCCCTGTCATGCACCTAATCAGTGACTGAGCTGGGACCTGAATCCAGGTCCTCTGTCTTCCAGGCTTACCTTCTTCCCATTACATCAGGAAGTCCCAAGCTTTTTACAGCCAAAACTCTTTTTAATTATTTACTCCTACCAGCCACTGTCCTGCATTCCATGTTTGAAAAAGTACTGTATCTGCCAAAGTACTTACATTAGTGAGTAATTAACTAGTTACCCATTGTTATTAATCAAGAACACAGACACACACCAACCAGACTTTCTCATCAGCCTAAGATCCAACCAGGGTTACTATATTGATAGAGTAAAGAAACTCAAAGTATGATCTCAACTCAGGTATTTTACGTGTCGATAATAATAATAATAATGATAATAATAATAATAGTGTCTCTTGAGATATTATCACTTTCAAAGACTATTAAGGACTTAGAGAGCCCCGTTGGGAATTAGCATAGAGTATCATGCTGCCTGCTCAAAGGCACGCAGGGTTGTCCCTGCCCCAGCAAACAAACATTACTCTAGAGGTGCCATCAAAAGACCGCATCCTCCCTTCCTCTCACGTTCCCACTTTCCTCCCTACTTCCCTTTCTCCCCCGTCATTCAGATCTCCCATAGAGCATTAAGGCAAATAACAGCCATGTTTGTATAACTGTTTCAAGAATAGATAGAATAGAGTGATCATACATATAACTCTACACCTTCTATGACTCAAATATGATTTTGAACCTGAGTTTAACAAAAAGAGATTTTAGATCAATGACCGAAAAGAACATAGATGGAACCATCCTAAATCAAATATTTGCAAGAGAATATAACACATAAAAATGTTTGAAGCCAGACACAACACAGAGCAAAGCATTAACACGGCGATTCTCAAGATTTTAGATTTGCAAGATTTTCATTTCATAGCTCACTTAGAAAATGACACGCTGGGGGCCGGCCCTGAGGCTGAGTGGTTAAGTTTGCACGCTCCACTTCGCTGGCCCAGGGTTTGGATCCTGGGTGCAGACCTGACATTGCTCATCAAGCCACGCTGAGGCGGCATCCCATATAGCACAACTAGAAGGACCTGCAACTAGAGTATACAACTATGTACTGGGGAGCTTTGGGGAGAAGAAGAAGAAGAAGAGGAAGAAGAGGAAGAAGAGGAAGGAGGGGGAGGGGGAGAGGAAGAAGAAAATCTTGGCAACAGACGTTAGCTCAGGTGCCAATCTTAAAATCTCATGATTATGTGATTATATGATATTAAGTGACAACAAGGGACTCAATCAGTAAAATTCAACTTCTATTTCTGATTTAAAATCTTGGGAGAAAAAAGCCCTCATGGGATGTATTTTTTAAATTTGAGTGAAAACCTTAGTTGAGACCAGTTCATTCTGGTGCCTTGCTGACGACGTCTGAAGTATGAGTTCGTCCTGTTCCTTGGTGATGGGCCGCCGTGAGGGTGGGTGTTCATTCTTCGGCAGGCTTGTTCCACTGCCCAGCAGCAGCTGGTGTGCTCATACTCAGATAAAAGCCCCTTGAGTTGTTCTTTCAGGCTGGAGGAGACAAGGAGAGAGGCGCCGGCCCTCATGCCTGGTCACTAGGCAACTGGACAGTCAAGGAGCAGGAGCGGCCCAGAACTGCCTTGCGCGTGTGCTGTGTGGTCCAAGCTCACATCAGCCCAGGCCAACCCCAGCAAAGTCACATGGGGCAGAAACATGCCCCACTTAGAGGAGGCCCAGCCTCAGGACTCCTGTCGATAAACTCAGAGGACCAGCCACTTAGCCCTGCTTGAGAACTCAGCCAGGTCTGCATCTTTATATGGACCGCTCACCCCAGTGAGAGGCAAAGATCCTGCGTCCTAACAGCCCTCCTTCTGCCGTCCTGGGGAAGGGCTCAGTCCTTTTTAGCCAGGCTTGGACTCAAAGTCTCCCAGCTTACGGGGATATCCATTTGCAGTCCAGGGAGGCATGGGGATGCTCTGGGAGCTGCTGGGCCACACACGGAATCCTGTTCCCCTTTAGGATAGTGCTCGACCTCTGGACATTGCAGACAGGGAGGTCTAAAAGGGGCGCTTGGCTTTCTCCAGCTCAGAGCTGAACCATAAAAAGAAATTCCAATAGACTCTAATTGTCCTCAGCCCAGATGCAACAAATGAGGGCTTTTCATGGTAAAATTACCCAAGTATTAGCCCTTGTTAGGGATGAGACCTCAGACTTTCGCACTGTATTACCTTAGCAGAGTCGGACCCGCATCAAATGTAATTAGATGTTGACATTCATATTATCCTAGAAAATGATGATTATGCAAATGTAGACTATGCTATTAGAACGTGTTTTGGGTTTGGAAAATTGCATCCTTCTTTTCCACATGGGGTTCGCTTATGGTTACTAATTCTTGAGCCTCCTAGAGACTCCAGGCTAATTAAGGTTTGCACAGACCAAACAGACACACTTCCTCCCTCCAGGAGCTTTGATTAGGCCTGGGTCTTGCCTTCCAAACTGTGATCCTTAGATGTGCCTTTGGGACTGCAGGGCGGCGTGTGGCGGCAGGGTGCTGGACCCGAGGTTTGTCCAGAGCAGCTCCTCTTATCTGTCGCCTATTTGGGCTGGTAAGGAAGGTTTTGCTTGAAAGAAAGGATTCCAAGGCGAACAAAGTGCTGAAGGCCACTGCGCTAAACCACACACTGTTGCTTGAATATCTATGTATAGTATATATTAAGTTCCCACAGATTCTTTCCATGCTCTTTTTGCTTTATTGGGATTTTAAACATTGTAAGTCAAACAATATGATATATAAGGAAAAGGCTAAACATCTCTCCCCTTGCTCCCTTCTAGTTCTGCTCTTTGAAGATTACCAGTGTTGACGGGGTCATATATATCCTCCCACACCTTTCTCTATGCTAACATCCTTTAAAATATTTTCATTGTGAACATTTTGAACATACAGAACAGTAGAGACTAGTGTAATTAATCCCTGTATACCCATCTCCCATTTCCAAAAATTATCAAAATTTTACAACACTTGTTTCATCTACCTCTTTCTCGTATGTTTTTGGTTTTTGTTTCGTTTTATAAAAATGGTGTTTGCTACTTGACAACCTGTTTTTTACTTAATCTATCTTAAAAATTAGTCTCTATCAGCTCATTTACCTCCTCCTTTTAATGGCTTTGTAGTTTTCCATTGTGTGTTTGAACCATCAGTTACTCAAACATTCTCCTACTCTTGGACACAGGCTGTTCCCAAAGTTTTTTGCCACCTCACAAATTACTGCAATAAATGTCCTTGTACATATGTCTTTACATATTGGTGCATTTATTTCTGTAGGATAGATTTCCAAAAGTAGGATTGCAGGATCATGGGCTATATATATCTTAAGTTTTGTGAAATATTACTAAAGAATATTCTAAAAACATTATAGATACACAACCTCCCACCAGCAACTGGTACCCTGGGGATGTGATTGCTCATTAAAAGTGTTGCGAATCTTTTTTGTGAAGAAATGGCATAAAATTGCTATTTTTTATGTGTCTGTGAATGGATTCTTTTTCTGCATTAATTTTGTAAATTACAGTTTTGCAACCATTGTTTAGGGGAAAATAGCCATTAGGAACATCTGAAATAGAGGGCAAGACGGAAATGTCTTTTGAAGACCAGCCACTGCTCTTTGTTCCCATTAGTTTGCACAGCGGAAAATGGGTGCTGGCCGCGTGGTACACATCTGTAATCTCCCTGAAGGAAGCTGCACTGAGAATGACGTCATTAACCTGGGGCTGCCCTTTGGAAAGGTCACTAATTACATCCTCATGAAGTCTACTAATCAGGTAGGTCTGGGCCCTTTCACAGTCTTATGTACCAGATAGACCACACATTGGTGGAGGGGAACTACATAATTTTTTTTTTTTTTAAAGAAGCTATTCTTAACATGGAGAGGTGATAGAGAGTTGGCCTCTTGTTGGTACTGCACAGAGGTTTTTGTTGTTGGTGGTGTTGTTTCCCCTTGTTTCATCTTACCCTTCTTGTGATGGGTACAGGTCTTTGCGGGTTGCCTAGAGGTTAGGAGGTGCTATGGAATGAAGGAACTCATTAACATAGAAAAGCCAACTGGCCCCCAAATAGAAATCTATGAACTTGAGTCTTTTCATTGTGTTGCTAACCTCTTGAGCTAATGCTGCCATCTCACCCTCTAAGCTTCTCCTACCTGAGGGAGTGGATTTGGAGCCAGCTAAGTACTGACTGGGGACAGCCATTTTCACTGATCCTTGGTGTTAGCATCTGAGGCCCTCGGGTCTCATAACAGGAGAGTAGGTGGGAATGGATGGATGCCTGGTTAGTCTAAGGAACTAAGACCCTCAGCTCGTGGGGATTGACCGAGTCCTTGGGGGTTAATATGTCTGCCTTCATTTCTAAAGTCAAAGTGGGAGTTTATACAGAGAGTGGTCAGAAATCAGCAAATTTTATCTTTTATTTTTAACAAATATTTTTACTTTCTGAATCAGAGGAACAGGGATAGGAGAAATTCTTTTCTTAATTACTGCATGAACTTTGGAGACTCAAAGTCACATCAGATCCTCAGTGGTCTTCCTCCATCAACCTGGGCTTGCACTACTCACTTAGGCTCTTTGTTCCTACTTCCCAGAATTCTGTTTCGGGTAAATGTCCAAAATTCAGCTTGCAACATTAATGCAGTAAGATTAACTGAACTAATATTATTCCCGTTTGACTGGTGAGAGCTAGAGGTGCTAAAATGTTTGCATCAAGACAGAGGCACTTAGATAGCTGAGTGGCAGAATTTGAAATGAAACTCTAAAGAATCTTGACTTCTTAGTCTCCCACACTTCTGCCAATAGAGTGCGACAGCATGGAGAAAAGCATAGCTGAAATTCAAAAAGAAATGTCAGGGAAGGAGGCAGAAGGAGATTGTTTAGCCCATTTGGTTCAAGGAAATGGGGGAGCAGGGGCTCACAAGGAGGGCTCACTTGTCTCAGACCACTTTTCCTTTTCAACATCGATGGACCAGATGAGTACATCCTCAGTATTGTACAAACCACACAAATCTAAGAAACAACAACAGCGATAAATCCGCCACAGCAGCTACTGGGGTAAACTGACAGGTCAGTCAAAACAGTCTACTTAGAAGCTGTCTACAGATACCGGTTGAATGGAAGAGCCGATTCCTTTGTAAGTGTTTTATGACAGCATTAAATAAAGAGGGAAAATGCTGTGGAAATGTAACCGAGGGTTTTCTTCTCTCTTTAACTCAGAAAGACATGGCCTTCCTTCAAGCCTAGGGAGCCCTGAGTTTTTTAATGTATTTCTTTCTTTGCAAAGAAAGTGAGAGCTCAAATATCCAGGGCTTGTGTCTCTATCTCCTGCCATTGCCACCACCAAATAGCAAGTTCACTCATGCAGCAGACTCACTCTCCACCCCCCTACCAACCTCTTCCTCTCGGGGAACTGTGGGTTAGTGGATCCTCCCATCCCAGAGGGACTCCTATGGCATGAGGTAGCCCAGGATGGACAGACATAACTAAGAAGAATACTTGGTAACCATGGGGATCAGGAGAGGGGCCATCTTATAACGAGCTCTTTTGGTCTTTTGGTAAAGTTAATAAATAGGCCTCTTTGAATGGATGGGATCAAAGAAAGCTCTTTCTTATACTGATTATTTTTTCTTTTTATTGAGGTATAAAATACAGTCTAAAGTGCACTAGTCTTAAATGTACAACTCCATTAATTTTCTACATGTGTACACCTATGTAATTACGATGCAGGTCAAGATATAGAACATTTCCAGAACCTCGGAAGGTTTCTTCATGCCCTTGTCAGTCAATATCCCACCCCCTCCCCAGGGAGCAGTTCACCTCTAACTTTATCACCGTTGATTCCTTTTGCCTTTTCTTGAACTTTATATACATGGAGTCATACCTTGTACTGAATTTTGTTAAAGACTATTGAAGTCAAGCGCATGGAGTCAAGCCCAATGTACGTCCTTCCTTTCTTTCCTAGGCCTTTTTAGAGATGGCTTACACAGAAGCTGCCCAGGCCATGGTCCAGTATTATCAGGAAAAATCTGCTATGATCAATGGTGAGAAGTTGCTCATTCGGATGTCCAAGAGATACAAGGAATTGCAGCTGAAGGTAAAGTATTCTCTCGTTCATTCAGTCATTCAACAAGCACCAGCTTGTCAGGCATTGGCCTAAGTGCTGGTGGGAAGGAGCAGATAGGAAAAGATAAAAAAATTGCTGATTCGCTTTGAGGATATCACATGGGAAGGCAAACCATTATCACATGGGAAGAAAAGTGCTCATTGAGGTAAGGACAAAATCCAAAGGGGTGCTAGAGACAGGATGACTGGATACAGGGGAAGTCTTGAAGGATGAAGTAAGAAGGAAAAGGTGGCTGCATTTCAGAGGTGGGAGTTCCAGGCAGAAACCCCTGAATATAACCTCCTTCTCTACTCATACAGGTCTTCAGTAATCTTTTCTTTGTCTGTCACGCGCCCTCCTCCAGCCTCTGTATTTCTGTCTTCAGCCCCGTAGAAGTCCTTCTAAGCTTCACCTGACTGAATTGGCCACTGGCAGAATTCAGATAATTCCAAACGGGGCTTTTGTTTTTGTTTTAGCTTGTTCTACATTTCTCTTTTCTTTTTCTCTTTTTTGTTTTATTGTGAAGTATAACATATAGACAGAAAAGTGGCTAATTATGTACCGTACAGTTTAAAAAGTAATAATGGTGAAATCCCATAAATCTCATAAAACCACTACCAAAGTCAAGGAATAGGACACAGACAGCACCCAGCAGCGCCTGAGAGGCCCTCGTCGTGCTTAACCCCTCCCTCTCCACTCTCTTGACTTTGAGGACGGTCATTCCCTTACAGTTCTACCGCCCCTCGATGCCTCCCTTAACGTCACACTTTAGCTTTGCCCATTTGTGAACTTCACATGAATGGAATCATACTGTCTGTGTTCTTTCATGTCTTGCTTCTTTCATGCAACATTGTGCCATCCATGTTGTTGGGTGTGTCTATTTTTTTAATTGTTATATAAATTTCCATTGTATGACTATAAATTTATTTGTCCATTCCACTGTTAATGGACATTGGGGTTGTTTCCGGTTTTAAGGTATTAGGGACAATGCTACTATGAATATTCTCAAACGTTATCTTGCTACACACGTACATCAGCATATAGGTGGGAGTACGTACATAACTAGGGGGGCAATTGCTGGACCAGAATGCATGCTTATCCTCAACTTTATTACATACTGGCAAGCTCTTTTCAGAATTAGTTGTCCCACATTTACACTCCTACTAGTAGTGTTTGAGAGTTTTCAATGGTCCACCTTCTCGCTCACACTTTGTCTTGTCCAACTTTTTAATTTTTGCCTGTCTGGGGAGAGTATAATAGTTTATCCTGGTTTTATTTTTTATTGTGCTAATTACTAACTGAGGTTGAGCACTTTTTGGATTGTTTATTGGTTCTTCCGTCTAGATCTTCTCTGGCGGGAAATTTCCTTTCAAGCGGTTTGCCCATGCTGCTCTTTTGGATTGTGTCTTCCTACTGATTTGCACGTGTTCTCTTAACTGGAGCACTTAGTCCATTTGGATTTATTGTAATTAATGCTATATTTGTGTTTAAATCTAGCTTCTTTTGTGCTTTCTACTATCCTATTTAGTAGAGATTTTCCAGTTCACTTCAGCTCATTCCACATTTACTTAGGGTCCGTTTTGTTCGAGATCCACAGCCCTTGATCTGCCTTCAAGGTTGAAGTCAGAAGACAAAGGCTCAGAGGTTGTTTCTAGCTAGGACTAGCCTTCTGACAAGTCTCCATATGTAGATCGGCACATGTCAACCGGTTGCCAAAGTCCTGATTCTGCTTTGCTCGCATTGTTGCTTCCAAAGTTCCTGCGCCAACAGTTCTGCTTCAGGCAGAACCTGGCACTTTTTTCTGACTAATGACAGCATGTTGCTTTTCTCCGACAAGTAAAAGATCCCACCCCATCCTGTACCCAGCCCAAGTTCTTGTTCTCTTAGATTCTCCCCTGGGGGCTAGAATCGAATTGCTGCACTTGATTCCCAGTGGAGCTTTGGTCTCCAAATGAGATGTTGTCATAAGTTTCTAATTAGGATTAGCAGCAGTACTTAGCTTCTTCAATTAAAGTACCAAGGCGCTGTAGTACCTTACCAAGGGAGATAGTCTGGAGTGGTGCGAAAACTACAGGTTAAAGAGGTCAGGTGGTCAAGGTTTACATTCAGCAAATGCTCATGGAGTGCCCACTGTGGGCAGGAACTGGGCCAGGCCCCACGGATATGGAGGTAGCAAACTTGTGGAGGAGCCCACAGTCTGGTGGGAGGAAGAACAGGTCAACATAGAACCATCAACGACCATGTGACCTATACCAGATTGGAAGGTGATGGTGCCAAGCTAGACTCTACTCCTTCCTGCTTTGATGAGCTTGTACAAGTTGCTTAATCTCTGTGAACCTCAGTTTCCAGATGGGTAAAGGACTATACCTGAAGATGTTTAGTTTTAATTTAAGCATTTTTTATCATGGTTAGTAACAGTAATTATAACAGTATGACAATAATAACAGGAATGTGTACCTTTAATTGAATCCTGATACTCTGGGTCAAGTAATGTGCCAAGCACTTGACATACACTGTCTACGGTAATCCTCAGATCAGTTCTATCAGACAGATACTATTATCTCAGTTTTACAGATGAGGAAACTGAGGCTAATAGAAGTTTAGTAACTTGCCCAAGATCGCAGTTACTGGAAGAGCTGTGATTAAAACTTAGGACTGTTTTGGTTTTGCACTATATCTGCATCTGTATATTGTTTTATTATGATCTCTATTGTCCACATGAAAAAGCAGAGAGAAATCAGGTAATTAGCTTATGGTCACCCAATCAGTAAGCAGCAGAGATAGTATTCTAACAGAGCTTCTCAGACTTTAACGTGCATACAAGTCACCTGTGGATCTCGTGAAACTTTCTGCTTCAGTACGCCTGGGGCAGGGCTGTGATTCTGCATTTCTAACAAGCTCCCAGGAGATGCTGATGCTTCTGGTCCTCGGAGCATACTTTGAGTAGCAAGAGCCTAGAACATATTGTTTCCTGACCTTTAGTAAGGATTTTCTGCTTCCCATGCTGTCACATTGCCTCTTAGGGTCATTGTGAGGGTCACATGGGATAACATGTGAAAGCCTCTCAAAGCGTGTTTCAACTACATAGTAATGCATTATGGTCCTGGTGTTGACATGAATCAGCTATGACTTTCTCTGCAAGTAACAGAAATCTGTCTCAATTAAGCATATTGGCTAAAGTGAAAAAAGGAATTTATTGGCTCATGTAACCGAAAAGTACAGGAATGGTTCTGGCTGCAGGCATGGCTGGATTGAGGGCCCAAGTGATGATATATTAGAACATGGTTTCTCTCCAATCTGCCCCGTTGGCTTTGTTTTAGGGGTCTCCCTGGGATGGTCCCTGGCAGCCCCAGGCCCTCTCCTCTAGGTGGCGCAATGACTTCAGTGGCTTCAGCTTCTCATCCTCCCATTTCCTCCAACAAGAGAGAGCCAGAATTTCTCCCAGTAGCTCCCACAAAAGTCCTGAGAGTCACTTAGTCTGATTGGGCTAGCTTAGGACACATGCCCTTTCCTGAACCAGTCTCTGCAGCGAGGGGGAGGCCGTGCTGTGATTGGCCAGGCCTGTGTCACATCCTTGGAGCAGGGGTGGAGAAGGGGGAATGGCTACTGGAGAGGTAGACAGCAAACCACTGTAGCCATTTGTGTCTCTGGGCCCACGAGGCCACCACTCGGGGTCCCACCAGGGCTTGTAGAGGTGGGGGGAATTTTGTTTGGTCTTTCTCTAACTTTACCTTTTGCCCACGAGGCAAAGTGGAGGGAGAGAAAGGAGGGATTTTAAGGCATTTCTCATCTCCTCTCTTGAGTATTTCCTCATGCCCGTAATCTGGTCTCCCCATACACTTTCTGTGGCAAGGCATTCTATTCCTCAGAGCATTTGAGGCAGAACCTTTCACATAATAGGTATCCAATAAATGCATGGAATGAATGAAAAGAGAAAATCTGAAGGAACGATAAAAAGTGAGTGTTTTCCTCCTGCAGACCTGGATGAGAAGATTGAATTACTTTCTCAGTTGTTCAACAGAGACTTCTTCAGAATCATAGCATCTTATATGCAGAAGGGAACTTGGAAAATTTAAACCACTGTCTCCCAGTCACTGCATCAGAGAATTGTCAGGGGAGTTTCAGGTGCTCTTGCCCATGGATTCTCGTTCAGTAGATTTGGGGCAGGACTGAGGCTCCCAGGTGATTTGGGGTGCAGGGGTCTGGAACTGGCCACCCCAACATATGTCTCTTTGGCATGATTATTTGTGGCTCATTACTTTGCAGACAGGAAAGCAACTGAAAAGTAGAACTTGCTTACCCATGGTAAGAGACATTTACATTGTAAAGGAACTCTCCATCTGTAAAGATATCTCCCTCTCTGTATCAGAAGAAAGAACATGACCTTCTCTCTAGAAACTCCTAATCAATGCCAAAGGCAAGGACTTAAATCTGCATTTGTTTATTGTGCTTCTCTGGTAACCTCCTGTAACTGACTCCCCTCCCCCTCCCAACATTGGCATTTCTTTAAGGATTAAGCATCTTTCCTTGGGCTAGGAACTGATTGCTGTGCTCACCTGTGACCACCCAGCTCGAGACAATAGACTTGCTTCCTGCTACGCCCACTGAGATAGCAGACCACTACCTGCTGTGGCCATCAAGCGCTATGCCAACAGGGCAATCTTGTGACTATTGTGGGAGGGACATTTCAATCATATGTGAAACATCCTGTTTGGGGGTATATAACCACTCTGTGCACCCCACTTCTTCGGTGCCCTTTCTTCCTTCGGGAAGAAAGGCCCCGGGCCATGGTTCCTCATAAAGCTTTGTTTAATTTTCTCTTGCTATTCTGTCTCATGTGAATTTAATTCGTTCTCCAGCCAGACGAACCCCCATTTCAGTAGAGGAAAAGTCTTCCTCCCTACATGGGGCAGAGGGCCTGGTTTCAGAGCCACTGGTCTTGCCAGCCTCCTGGCCAAGAGATATTCCCTGGCCCTGAGAAGCAGTCTTGT